AGACCTGACCTTGCTTATGCAATTAGTTTTTTAAACATATTTATGTCTAAGCTTGGTAAGCCTCATTAGGCTGGAAAGAAATGGTTGTTTAGATATATTGTTGGTATATTAAATCGACCTAAACCTAATGATGATGGCTATCGACCTGAACCTTGTACTTGGCATTACTCTCTTGAATGACCAGCTTTACCTGCTCATTGATGTCCCTAAGATGTTTTGTCATCTCATCGGCCTTGTGATTGAAACGACCCACACGTGGGATAGGGGCTAAGTCAAGCACTCCAGATGGATTCTGACATTAGATAATCTCAAAGGGGTTCATTCCGGTGGTTCTATTTTTCGACCAGTTATAGGAAAATTCTGTTTGAGGTAATACCGAATCCCACTGCTTCGATTTGGTCCTTGCCAAAATTCTTAAAAGGTCACCCAAACTCTGGTTTACCACCTCGGTCTGACCATCTGTCTGGGAGTGGTAGACGCAGCTAAAATTCAACCGCATTTCTAGTTTCTCCCATAATCCCTTCAATAAATGACTTATGAACTTGGTGTCACAATCAGAAGTAATGGATTGGGAATACCATGTAAACGCATAATCTTCCTGAAATAAAGATGGGTGATTCGTGTAGCATCCATCATCTTCCTACAAGCTATAAAATAGGCCATCTTGGAAAACCTGTCAACCACAACAAAGATAGAATTCATCATTCGTTGAGTACGAGGTAAGCCCAATACAAAATCCATGCTGACATCAATCCAATAAGCTTCAGGTATAGGTAAAGGCATGTACAGTACCGCATTAGTGAGAACTCATTTAGACTGTAATCCATGCTGACATCAATTTGTTGCCTCAGTGAACAATCTGGAATGCACAACTGTAATCCNAGTGAGAACTCATTTAGACTGTAATCCATGCTGACATCAATTTGTTGCCTCAGTGAACAATCTGGAATGCACAACTGTAATCCGGAAACAGATGCCATTAAGGAAAATAAAATCACGTCGTTGATTATTAGTTACGTCCTAAATTATCTTCCCAAAAGAAGAATCTGCAGCATACATATCAAGAGATGTCTCAAATCCTACAACTCTAGTGCTCATGGTGGTGAGGAGTCGTGTGTGACAGCTTAATGTATCTGCGACACGATTCAGGCTATCGGCTTGGTGCGTAATTGCAAATGTGAACTCCTACAAGTACGCCACCCATTTTGCATGTCGTCTACTTAGCTTGTGTTGACCATTGATGTACTTTAGGGTTTCATAATTGATAACAAGAATAAACTCCCTCTGTACCAGGTAATAACGCCAAGTTTCAGGGACTGAACTATGGCATAAAACTCCAAATCACATGTGGAATAATTTTTTTCCAATACTAATAACTTCTCACTAAAAAAGGCTACTTGGCACACCTCTTGACTCAGAATGCCACCAATGCCAACCTCAGATGCATCACAATTTACTTCAAACACTTTTTCAAAGTCATAAAATGCTAGAGCTAGAGCCTCTGTCATCTTTTTCTTGACCAATTGAAAGCTGGCTTCTACCTTATCAGTCCACTAAAAATCACGTCCCTTAAGACACTTTATGAAAGGGGCAATCAGAGTGTTGAAATTTCTGATGAACTAGCGGTAAAAGGATACCAATCCATGGAAACTTCTATCATCACATAAAGTCTTTATCTTAGGCCAATTCAAGATCGCCTCTATTTTTGATTGATCTACATAAACACCATCAGTAGACACAACAAAACCTAAAAAGTTACAGAAGCTATGAAGAAAGGAAACTTATTCCAATTGATGAATAGACGCTCCATCCTCAGCATATCAAAAATAGCACGAAGGTGAACAAAATATGATGCCCATGTCGAGCTATAAATGAGGATGTCATCAAAGTAGACTACCACAAACTTCCCTATGAAAGGCCGTAAAACATGATGTATAAATCTCATAAAGGTGCTTCGTGTATTGGATAGTCCAAAGGGCATGATCATCTACTCATATAATTCGTGCTATTTCTTAAACGTCATCTTCCATTTATTTCAGGGCTTATTCTGATTTGGTGGTATCCCTTTTTAAGGACAATTTCTGAGAAGATTTTAGAACCGGACAGCTGATCTAACATATCATCCAAGTGAAAAATTGGGAACCTGTACTTTACTGTAATCATGTTGATTGTCATGCTATCAACACACATACGCCAAGACCCATCCTTCTTTAGTACTAGTATAGCAGAAATTACACATGGACTCATGCTTTTACGGATATAGCTCCTCTCCAATAATTCTACCACCTATCGCTGTAACTCTTCAGCTTTCTTAGTACTGAGGTGATGTCGCTCACAGGTGTGGTAACCCCCAGAAGAAGATCCTCTAGCATTAGGTCAGAAGACTCCATTAGTAGCTGCTACACTTCTATTGGTAAATCTGGATCCCCGTTTACTGCACTATTCTCATAAAGCGGTAAAGCATAAACCATGTCTTCACGCCTATTCTCGTCCAAAAACTTGGACATAGAAAGTAGGTTGCTATTATTAACTACTGAGGCAGGGATATTTTCTTCTTGGTGAGGCGCTAACACAATCTTCTTTCCTTTGATGTTAAGGGAATATGTATTCTTCTGCCCATCATGAATAACACTGCGATCATACTACCAAGGTTGGCCCAACAAAACATGACAAACATCCATAGACACGACATCACACTAAGAATTATCAAATATTTTTTACCGAACGAAAAAGATATTAGACATCGTATCTCTACTGTTACCCCACTGCCTTTATTCGGCCTTGATAATTTATACAGATTGGGATGACGATCATCTTTAATTACAGTTTCTAGATAGCTTCTTTGGATACTACATTCTCACAATTGCCACTGTTAATGATCATCTTGCAGACTTTATCTGCAATTGTACAGGTTGTGTGGAAAACAATGGTCCTCAACCAGTCATCCCCTGAATCACCCTTAGGAGTCACTAGACTCTTGTGAACAACTAGAGTCCCCTGGCCATCTCAATATAGTACGTCTTCATCTTTAGCACCATCATATACAAGTTCTCCAACCTCCTCGAATTAGCCTACCATGTCCTTCTCAATCAGGAAATTTTTACTCTTCTGACCAGTCGACGTCCTGTAATCAATCACCCGATGTCTCTATTCACCACATCTGAAACATTTAATACTTGAGTTAGAAAGGTCAAGCGGTGGTTAATAGGCAAGACAGGATTTTTGAGGGCAAACTGGCTGACTATTTTCGCCCCTGACCACTGGCCTCCTGTTCCGCTATTTTTCTACAACAAGTTTACGCTGGTATGCCTCAGAAACGGTCCATAGCAAGTGAAGATTGAGGAAATCCTGCAAGGGCTACCTTAATCCCCTAAATAACATGCCACCATTTGCTCTTCCGTCTTAGATAATTCATTCTGGGCTACCAATTGATAGAACTCTTTTGTATAATCATCAACTGATCTCGTGCCTTTACTCAGTGAATATAGCCCCTGAAATAAGGTTTGAGTGTAGCTGAAAGAATTGAAGTGCACTTTTATCTTTTTTTTCATCTTCTCCTAATCAGTGATCTTAGACTTGCTCTGTCGCTCTTGTGAATACCTCAACTGCTCCCGCCATACAGATGCTCTACCCTTTAGTTTGATGGCGACTAGTCTCACCTTGACACAACTTGGGACCTCCTTATACTCAAAAATACGCTCCAATTCATTCAACCAATCAACAAATCCTTCGGCCTGTAACGTACCAGAAAACTTGGGCAGGAACACTCTGAAACGAAGTCTCCATGGTGATCGTCTCATCTACAGTGCTCCCAGAGTCGAGCACGATTGTGATACAAGTTTTTGAAACTGGTCTTAAAATCGTAACCCTCCACTTCATGATTACTGAATTCCTATTCCACTAGACGTTAGGTTAACTCTACAACTTGCCTCTGTAAATCTTCAATCGTCCTGAACGTCACTATGACGATGGAATTTCCTCCACCGGAACCTACCCACGACGAACACGACCACGTCCACCAACCATTGAAACTGATGGAAACTCTCCCAGGAAGATGCTGATTGCTCTGATACCAACTGACGCCGGGCAAGATAGCTATTATCCTGCAATCTAGTTGTAATAGATATTTCA